ATTGCAGTGCATAGTTAAAGATTAAAGTGGCGGCAAAGAAAAAGCAGCAGTTATAGAGGGAATAGGTTCATCCAACACCAGTAACGCCAGTCATGAAGTGAATGCACCAGATTGATAAATATATTAACTGTTTTGGCATCAGACTCCCAAGCTTCAATCACTTCCCGACTTTTCTTGCTTCGGGTGTGGAAAATTATCTTCGAGACTATGAAATAAAACTCATGACCCGCTTCGTAGGTGTGGACAGCCACTTGTTATACTCAATCAGGCCCTCTCACGTATAGCTTATGTTCGTGTATATGCGAACTAAGCTTCCTTAGGTCTGTCTCGTGTACTTTCGGGGATATTTTAGGCACGGGATGCAGTACACTACTTCCGACTTCTCACTAATATTCAATCAGTCTCCCATTTTCTTGATCGTGCTGCCTACGGTAGGCGTGGGTGGGTGCGCAATTCCGACACCCAATTTCGCAATGGTACTCTTTGTCGCCTCTGACACGACCTTGAGGTATAGCAGTACATGCCATACTATGTGGGCTGGCTCTGATTGGCTCTTCCGGAGGTGATCATCTAGGCGTCTGCTAATGAATGTCTTCGGATAGCTGCTACGTATACACTGGTCTCAGAGATATCGAGCGTTACGTGTTTTCCATTCCGGGTTTCCGAAATGAGTCTAAATGAGTCTTAATAATTTCGCACGCGTCTTCGTTTGTGAGACACTGGATGGCTGCCGTGAAAATTGAGAAGCAGCATGGTATTAATTATCTACCTATAGACACTGGTTTCTATTTTCCCGTCGGAACTTCGTCTGAAAAGCACATAAACCAAGGGCCACTGCTGCTTTCTTCCTTCTTCCTTCATGAAATTTGTATCTGGAAATATCATAACCTCCGTGCAAGTCTGATTAAATGAAATTAACCTACTGGATACTAACGTAAAAATATACGCGTAGCCTTGCTCATTACCAAAGGACGAAACGTTTAATAACTCAAATCAATGTTATAAAAATGGGGAGAATTAAATCAAGCGTCGAGGCCCACACTCCATAAGATACGAAGTATTGATTGATTAGCGGTGCGTCTCGAAATCATGTTGGGTAACCGGCGATCGAATTTGCGCATTCTGCTAGGTTAATCGATCAGATGATAAGTTTATCTCTGCACACTCCCGAATGGCGTTTCCATTCTGTTACGCCATCACCCGCATTGCATGACTCTTTCTACTATCCTTTACTTATCACTGTTCTGTGCCCTTTTGTGTTACCTGTCTTTGTCAAGATCAGGCATAGTATATCCCAGGCGCGCTGTCCAAGTGTTTTGCGAAATTTTCAACCAAGGGTCCAAGAACTTGATGGAAAGATGCCGTTCGGTGCATCGTAGTCCACTGAAAGTTTTATTCTTCTACAGTTCGTCTTCATACACGGAGGTATCCTCGCTGAGAAAGGGACAGGTTGGATCGCGTTGGCGTCGTAAAAGATATCACAAATCACCTAGGACTCCTATATATGATGAAGTCCAGACTATAAATGATGTTTTGCGCAACAGAACGGTACGCTCACAAACGCCTCACATGAAAAGTCTTTTACGGCTTATCAGAGAACTCTCACTGACCTGTCATCGGATACTAGAACGCTGCTGAGTAGGGCAATACATATGCCACTTGTAACTGAAATTGGCTGGACTCACTGCGCTTTGCCAGATTCTTAAATTAGTTAACTGACCAAGTATGAATTTTTTCCGTGCAAATTATAAGTGTTGAGGGAGTCGTTTATTTATTAGTTGACGGGCTGCCGATACTAAGCTAGAATTACGGTCAATTCCTGGTAAAAGTACGTATTAATTTGCAAGTGATGTGAATGTGGGAGGGAGATAGCAGGGCTAATGTGTCCTTAACACTGGTTGGATGTGGTTTGCGCGTTTATTTTATCAGCCATATTTTTGACGTACACGCTAGGGCATTTATAAAGCAAATCAAGAGTTATAATACTGAATTGAATTGAACATACTAAGATTGCAAAAGATGATAAGTAAGAGAAGGATATGTAGACGAATTAATATAGGACAGTGTTTCAGAGTTCGCTTGGTAGGTTGACCATTTCTTGCCCACCACAGAAGACTGCCACCGTATAGGCTTTTCACCGTTGCAAATTAGGAATTAAACGTTCTGTTCCACTTTATCACTGATGTCATGAAGAGAGACTTCTTAGCGTGCGACTCCGAAGACCAACTGAATGTACGAATTTGTACAAGGCTGACTGTAAGTAGTCAGTTGGGGAGGGTCGTCTTTTATTTAATAATACAGGGTGTCCCAAAAAATGTATACACATTTTAAATAATTGTAAGTTTGGCGTTTATTGTAATTTTATAATTTCAAAAATGTAAGGACATTGAGGAGTATCATTTTATTGTTTTTTTACTGCATTTAGGCTATATTTTTAAAAAAACTGAGAAAGAGAGAAGCCATTGAACATGAATGCGCCTAAATATCAAGGGGGTTGTTTCATGGTGTGTGTCCATTGATTCGCGTTGTCAGCAGTGTCTTGATCCAAAATGAACGTCAGTTTGAGAACATGCAATGGAAAACAACAATAAAAAGATATTTGTTAACATTTTTACGTTTTTGAAATAATAAAACTATGATAAACATCAAGTCCACAGTTATGTAAAATGTGTATACATTTTTGGGACACCCTGTATATCTGCCATGAGAATCTCCCTAACAAACACGGTCTCTTAGTGACAACGAAATACGGAGCACAGTTACGTCAGATCTTGGTTCATGTTTTAATGGCATTCCTTAGGAGATCATTTCTTAAACTTCCTGGAAGAAAATTTTCTTCCAACAATAACCCAAAAGTCTCTCGCGCTTCCGCAAAGCCAGGTTGTACCCAGCGACAACACCCCGGTAACCACCTTGCCCGGCAAGTTAAGCCAGGAAAGCGTATCCTTTGTCATGTGTACTTCATGTCCGATAGTCTCGCTTCAAATACCTCTCCCTCCCCCTATCACTTTCTTAAGTCCTACAGAGAGGGCAATATATAATCACGTAGGTGGCTAGGCTCATTCTGGTCGTCCTCCCACCAAAAACCAATCCTTGACCCATAATGGAGTTCGGCAAACTTTTGGGGCGTCCAAACAGCCCTAATTAGGAACAACACCATCTTCAATAGAAGTGAATATGCGAGTTCTGGGAAGCAGTACAGAAAAAAGAGATGCGATCACTGGAACAGGAGTTTTATTTTCCTGACGTTTTGGATTCTGTCGAGAATCCTTACTCATAGGTTATGCTAGGATAGTCTGAGCCATACACATGGTTCAGACTATCCTACCATTACCTATGAGTAAGGATTCTCGACAGAATCAAAAACGTCAGGAAAACGAAACTCTTGTTCCGATGATTGCATCTTCTTCTTTTGAACTGACTATCACCTCGCGGAAGAACGAGCTAGAAAATGTGCCTTAAACGAGTGACAGTTCTCACGTCTCCTGCAGCCAGCTGCAGCTTGCAGCTTACAAAAATCACCATCGAACCGATCGAATAACCAACAAAAACAACTCCCTCCGATCTCCACTCCCGCGGTGTACGTTTTAGATTTCGCCACTGAGTCCGCTCATGCTAAAAAGTAGACATCGCTGCTCTTATTAAGACACGATTTTTGAGATGAGCCAGCTTGAGAAGGTGGGTACCGGCTACATATTTTTGAGGGCGGTTGTCCAAAAACAGAGCGGTGCGACGCTATCGTCGCCTTTGCCATTCAGAACGCCATGATAGGACCTCTGTTTTGTCGGCCACAGGGAGTGAAGGACTGATTGATGACCCTATGCCTACCTCTTCGGAACCTTTATTTGCAACCATTATCAGCACCCACACCCCAGCCAAGTGACAAGTTCTTATGGGGCGAAAAACAAATGATATGAGGGTCTGAACGCTTTCTTGGTGGCTTTTCCGAAGGTGTACAAACTATTTTCCCTTGGCGACTTCAACGCCCCTGTTGGGACAAACGACGTTGCCTGAGAGGGCGTGCTACACAACTACGGTCTCGGCGGCTGCAACGATAATGGACGCATGCTGGGCTCGCGTATACACGAACATAAGCTGGCTGTTCGACTGGGTGACGCACTATCGCAAATGGCCGCCCACACCTACGACACGGGTCACGAATTCAATTTCGCAGCTGCGAGGATAATTGTCCACGCTAGCAGCAAGACGGGCCGAGAACTGATTGAAGCCTGGGCGTCGAATTACAATTCAGTTAACCAATGCATCAAGCTGGCGCCCGCGTATGTTGCCCTGCGCAGGTATCTCCAGACTCACGGCACTGATGGTCCTGTCCCTCCCCCCCCTTCACATTAAGTGTGTGTAATCCTCCTCGAAAGCTCGACACAACCGATATAAATGAAGGAGTCGTAGGCCAAAAATGTTTGCTAAGGCCTCTTTATCTAGTCATCTTTATCTAGTTATTTCCCACCTAAGACATATCGCTTGCCGGAACTGCATTCGTCGCATGGAAGGCGAGTCCATGTTTAAGAGATATGCATCACATTTCTTATGATAGGCTTTTTGAGATTGCACTTAGTCAGAACAATTGAGACTGTAGGGATCGACTTTACCTGTTAAACAGATTTTTGTTCGAACTCCGACCAGTACCAAAACGACTCATTGCAAGTAGTCGATAAAAAGGGTTTCCGAATTATAGCCGACTGATTCATAAATCCACTATATTGTATAGTCCACCCAAGGAATAAACACTATTGACTAATATTTTGGGGCGCGGAGCCGTCTTCAAGGATTTGAGATTATATTCGCGTAGATGGAGGCCAGTTTTATCTACCCGAAAGCCAATATATTCTTCCCAGTTTACAAAAGGTACACGCAATTTTTGAATTTGAAATCCGCTTCTTCTCCAAGTGTTAGCATTAGGTTATGGGTCTCCGGATGGCTATCTTCAGATGGGCCGATTATGAACGCATGCGCAAATGCGAGATAGGGCCTTCACGGGCTGTCATCGTCCGAAACCAAGCGTCAGCCGTAAAGACTCTTCAAACCTCTACGATCTATCTAGTGTAATTACTAAAAGGCGAGCAAGCTGGATGGAGACGGGGGAATTCCATAAGGGACGCCTCATTGATAAAAGTAACAAGTGAGTCTGTCGCAAAAGGATTAAGTGGTTAGGAGAGATTCCAGTCGCCATGGTCTTCAGGGGAAAAATAGAAAATGGGACGCCAAATAGAAGGAATAGTATATTATATACAGAGCTAACGGACAATAGGTGGGAGGAAGTTGGCAGCAGGACGAGCGCGTGTCCACAGCCGCGACGGCTGGCGTCCGAAATATGAGGGCGCAAAGTCGTCCAGCGCTTCTAGTGCGGGCATGTGTGAGTTAGCCTCAGAGAGATACTTGACCAGATCTGATTGGGGTCGGCAGACAGTGTCGCATGCGTGCTAGCGGTCGCTAGAAATGAGAGTTTGGGCGGATTTTTGTCATTACAATTCTATTTAAAACTTCACGGGATAGCAATTGAACGGAAATATGATTGCGTTAGGCGATTAGAGCTAACTGTTGAGTAAAAAAAAGATTCAAAATTTCACCTCGCCATCACCAACTGGATTAGGGTAGATGTGGTGTGGTGTGAAAAGTAGCTACTGCAGTTCAACTTCAACAAATGCCAAGTAATCCGCTTACGGTCTAATCACAGGAAGATGATACCATTTGAGTATGACTACTCGATCGGAGGTCACCAACTCGGGCTAGTAAACGAAATAAGGGATCTAGGTGTATG